CAAGCCTATAATCCCAGCACTTTGGGAGGCTGAGGCGAGAGGATTGCCTGAGCCCATGGGTTCGAGACCTACCAGGGTAACATGGTGGGATCTCGTCTCTACGATAGATTAAAAAAATTAACCGGGCATGGTGGCACGTGCTTGTAGTTCCAGCTACTTGGAAGGCTGAGGTGGAAAGATCGCCTGAGTCCAGCAGGTCGACGCTGGGGTGGCTGTGAGTGTGCCACTGCATTCCGGCCTGGGCAACGGAGTGAGACTCCAACTCAAAAAAATAAAATAAAATAAACCCAGGGGAGCAGGGCAGGGCATTTGCCAAGGTGAGGGGGTCAGAAAAGACCTCTTTGAGGAGAGGTCACCTGAATTGAGACCTAATAGACAAGGAAGACAGACCTGTGGGCAGAGAGGAAAGGCAGGAGGGAAGTAAGAAGGGCTTGGCCTGGTGGAGACACGGACAGGGGTCCATGGAGGGGGAGCAGGAGCAAGTGTGGGGCTGCAGGGAGCAGCAAGGGGGTGAGCTATACTCCAACAGCGGTGGGAAGTCTGAGCCAGTTGTGTGCTGGGCAGAATCATGGCTCAGTGTCAATGTCATGTCCGGTGGCCGTTATAAAGGCCGCTCTCATTGCTTGGTGGAGAACAGATTGAGGGACCAGCATGGAAGTGAGAAGACCAGGGTGGTGGCAGTTGCCACAGCCCCCGGGGAAGATGCTGAGGCCGCAGGGCATGCTGGGTTGCAGCAGTGGGAGTAGAGGGAGGTGTGTGGGCTTGGAGGCGAAATCAAAGGACCTGAGATGGATCAGCTTGGGGGGCGGGCATGGAGTGGGGGTGGAGGGAGAGTCCCATGCTCAGGCCACACTGCTCTGACTGCGCACATGCTTCAAACAAGCGTGACTGGGTGACTTCTGGGTCCACAGCCAGTTGGAAGCAGCACGTGGTCTGTTGGGCTTTGCGTGTAACAATGGTACATCAGAGATGCCAATGACTAGGAAGGGTGAAGAGCCCAGGGTGGCTGGAGCCTGGTGGGGGCAGAAGCAAGGTGGAATCATCGAATGTCGCATTCTGTCCACCTTAAAGTTGAGATACCTCTTAGACTCCCAAGTGGAGGGTCCTGGAAGGCAGCTGGATATACGAGTCTGGAGCCCTACCTGGGGGTTTGGACCAAAAGTCTGGCCAAAGCATTGACACTCAGAAGCCTCGCTTGCCATTCAGTCTTTCAGGACCCGTCAGAGCCCTGGCCCTCTATTGTCTCCCCGTGGGCCTACTATCACAGATGCTGAATTCTTCCCAGAAGGCAAAATCCTCTCACATCCTGTTCCCCGGGGCCTTCCAGCCTGCTTTGAGTTGGCAGGATGGAGATTGTCTCCATTTTACAAAGGGGAAAACTGAGGCTCAGAGGCCGAGAGACAGGGAGCAACTTACCCTGGATCATACAGCCAATGATAATGAGGGTCGGAGCCCCCCCAACCCTCTGCCCCCAGGCCTCCAGCAGCCCTGCTGCCTCCTCCTGGGGCCCTGACTTCTTGGTATGCACCCACCATCCCAACTGTTGCCATCAAAACACTGTGCTAGTAACTACTGCAGTGCCAATGTGCACCGTGCTGAGGGTTTCCCTAGAGTTGATCGTCACAGTAACTAATGCTGGTATTCCCACTATGCAGGTGATACAACCGGGAGCTCAGAGAGGTCCGTGACTTGCCAAGGCCACACAGCTAGAGCATGGGAACCAAGTACCATGAGATTATGAAGTTCACTGCTACCGTGCTCGAGGATTAGAGAAATAGCTAGTTCCAGAGACAGTGGTCCTTGGCACCTAACACCTCGGGTCTGGGTAGCCCCTGGGCTCTCATGAGTTTACTGACAGTGGAAGACCTCCAGATCAGGATGGCTACTGTCTTGCTGGACATCCCTGCCCCAGTCCTAGTGGAAAACACTCAGGAGACGACCTGGCATTCCCCCAAAATTGTGGCCCAAGGAGCTGAAAAACCTGGGCTCTGCTCCTCTAGGAAGGTCTCCTGTTTGTTTGCGCCTCAGTTTTCTCATCAGTGAAATGGGTCCCAAAACACTTGTTCTTCCTACTTCCTGGGCTGTTGGGAGGGACCAGAGAGAAAACTGAGGACGTACTTGGTCACACAGGCCCTGGGACGGCCAGCTGGTGTAGTCCTTCCTTAGGCCAGGTAGTGGGCCCAGGGGTGGTGAGAAGGACCTTCCTTTGCGGGTTTTGTCTCTGACCTTACACACTCTATCCAGGTGGACGCCCTGAGTCTGGGAGAAGGCACGCCCCCTAGTGGAATCAGTTATGGTTGCTTTGGCCGCAGCAACCAGAGGAAGGGATCAGAGACATGAATGTGACTAGCTGGAGAGGGCCAGGAGGCCCAGGGTGGGACTTTGGTTCCACTGAGCTGGTTTTTGAATGTTTAGTAGAACCATGGCGGTAAAAAAGAGAGGGAGAAAGTGGATATTGACGATGCAAGGCTTGTCTGTCCCCTGCTGTAGACATTTCCCCCAGAGAAGGGGGTCCGTGGCGGGGGGCGGGGGCTGCTGTGTGCCCGGACTGTGCCTTATTCCTCAGCAGGACACGGGAGTCCATGTTGTCCATGTCTCCAGGCAGCCTCCCAGCTGGCTGTCTCCTGCCAGGTTGGGTCTCCTGGGGCACCAGCCAGGGACGGGGAGAAGTGGCCACTAGCTGTAGAAACAGCCCCTCATAGGCCTCCCCGTGGGCCTCAAGACCCCTTCAGGTCTGAGGTGGCCCATCTGGAGCACTGAGCCTCAGTTTCCTCCTTGACTCCTGGACAGGCGGGTGGAATGAGCTGACCACAGGCCTTGACAGGGGACGGAATTCTTTTTGTTGTTCAACTTTCTTTTTCTTTCTTTTTTTTTTTTTGAGACAGTCTTGCTATGTTACCCAGGCTGGTCTTGAACTCCTGGGCTCAAGTGATCTTCCTGCCTTGGCCTCCCAAAATGCTGGGATTATAGGCATGAGCCACTGCGCCCAGCAGGGGGAGGAATTCAAGCAAACAAGGGCAGCCGTAACCTTGACTGAGAGCCAGACCCTCCGAGAGGGTCTCACTTGTGAGCAGAGCAGCAGGTCTCTTCGTCTTGTCTCCGGCTTCCTTGCCTCTAGCACCTTCTTTATTCATTTGTCTGTTTTTACATTTGTTTATTTTAGCGGATATTTATTGACGGCCACCTAGTCAACGTGGCACTATTACCATTTAGGCTGGTTAATTCTGTTGTGGGACTGTCCTGTGAGTGGTGGGAGGTGTAGCGGCACCCCTGGCCCCACCCATGCACGATGCTGGTAGCATACCCCACCTAGCTGTGACAACCGAAAATGACTCCAGACATTGCCAAGTGTGTGCCTGGTTGAGAGCCACTGACTTGAGCCCTAGGCATTTGCCAGTGTTGAGACTGAACCCTTGGCCACCTCTCGCCCCTTCAGGCAGAGTGGGTGAGGCTCTTGGGACTGTTTGCCCATCCTGCTTTCCCACCGCCTCGCCTCCCACTTGCCATGACCGGCCACCTTGTTGGAGGCCCCGCCCCCTTTCTGTTCTTCCGTCTAGAGAGGCAGATGAGGGACATGGGCTCTCTGTGCCTCCGTCTTCCCATCTGCCAAATAGGGATAATAATAGCAATGCCGCCCTCAGTAGGCTGTTGGGAAGGTAAGTTAGTCTATGTGTGTAAAATACCCAGCACATTTCCAACATGCAGCAAATGCCACGTATGTGGTTCTGATTCAGCAAATGTTAGTTTTTGTTGTGCTAAGCCTAGGAGACAGCAACAAAGTCAAAGCCATTGACCTTGGGCTCTCAGCTCACGAGGAAAGCAGACACCTTGCTCTGTGCTTTTGAGTCAGTGTCACTAGTGCTGACATAGGGAAGCACAAGAGGCAGTGGGAGTCCCCAGGAGGGACACCTCACCCAAGAGTTATAAAAGGAAGGTTTCCTGGAGGAGGTGATATCCCAGCTGGGACCTGAAGAGGAGTACAACCTGAAGAGGAGTGCAAGTTAACTGAGTGAGTGAAGGAGAGGAATAATGATGTGTGTTATCATCTATCTTTAAAAAAAATATATATATATATATATAATATATATATATATACACATACACACACTCCCGGTCACTGCAGCCTTGAGTTGCTGGGCTCCAGCGATCTTTCTGCCTCAGCCTTCCAAGTAGCCGGAACTACAGGCACGTGCTACCATGCCCAGCTCATTTTTGATTTATTGTAGAGATGAGGTCTCACCAAGTTGCCCGGGCAGGTCTCGAACCCATGGGCACAGGCAATCCACTTGCCTCGGCCTCCCCAAGTGCTGGGATTGCAGGCTGAGCCTAGAGTATATTTTTAAAGGCTCTTCTGTTAAAAACAAATTCCATTTAATTAGGTCCAAATCGTGTCGAAGCATGCTGGGGTCACATCTCTGTGGGAAGTCATGTCTTACCTCTGAGGTCCCAACTTGGAAGTGCTTGGCACAGGGTAGATGTTGAGTGTGAAGTTAATGGCGTGGAGGGGACCACCTCCACCCCCCCCACCCGCGTGTGCGTGTGTGTTTGTACCTTGGTAACAGTCACCTCCCCAGATGCTTTCTGCCCGCTGGGTATTGGGGCCCGGCAGGAGAGGAGAGCAGGAAGGCGGGGGGGAAATGGAGTCAGGAAAGGATAAACCAGCTGTCTCGAAGCAGCAAGAGTTCCAGGGGGACCACCGGATGACTGCCCATCATAGTGTCTCAGAACTGGGCTGACAGACCCTTCTTCTCACCCATGCATCTGTGACCACCTCTGAGGGGTAGGAGCACAGGGGGTCAAGCATGGTAAAGCTCACATGGTGGTTAAACTCATGCCCGGTGAGCTGAAGCCATGCTCCTGGCTGCATGGTGTCTGGGAAATGCAGTCCTGCCTGAGCCTGGGAGGTGGTGACCGGCACTAAGGAACCCTTCCCCCGCCTCCGGCCATGAGTCTGGGGCACCTGGCTGGGCTCCAGGTGACAGTGTGTGTTGTTCCTTTTCCCGCGCAGCTACAGCCTCCGCCTGGCGTCCCGATGCCCTCCGCCAGCGGCTCCGTACATCACCAGGCAGTGTAGGAAGGTCAAGGCCCCGGCTGCAGCCCAGTTCCAGGGACCCTTCTTCAAAGAGTAGACACTTCGCCTGCTCCCTGACAGGTATGAGGCTGGACACAGCAGCAGCTGGCCCGTTTGGGTGGGTCTGGGGGCCGAGGGGGCTGGGTTCGGGTCTTGAGTGGGGAAGGAGGGAGAGAAAGGGGTGGCATGATGCCTTGTGTGTGCCAGGTGCGGGGTCTCCCTCCAGGAGGGCACTGGGCTGAGAGTATAGACTCTGGACCACCCAGGTTCACATCCCAGCTCTGCCACTTGCTGGTCACAGGACTTCAAGCAAGTTACTTAATGTCTCTGAGCCTTAGTTTCCCCATTTGTAAAGTGAACACAACCTGCTTCCTGGGATGATTGTGAGAATTACAAGAGTCAAATGTGCAGAGTACCTAGAACAGTCCCTGCTCGGTAGTAAGCACTAGGTAAGTATTAGTTACCATGGTTGTAGTGATAATGATCATAAAAAGTAGTAATTCATTTAAAAAACCTGAAAGAGAAATGCTCATAACCCCCTGGATTCTTCTGAGTTAAATTGTAAGACCGAAAATGTATTCTATTGTCGACTTTTTTAAAGTCCTTTTAAAAAATAGAATTTTACAGTATCTTTTTAAATAGTTCTTCTTGATAATAGCAGTGGCTCCCACTATCTTCACAAAATTGAAAAATACAATCATGTATAAAGAAGAAAATAAAAACAATATATGCAATCCTGCATTCTTTAAAATTAAAAAAAAAGTAGTAATTATACTCAGTCCTCAGTTGAGACCTTCAGAGGCGTTAAGCCCAGAAAGGATCATGGAGTCCCTACTCCCACAGGTATTTGAAAGTAAAAATAATACAGACTACACATGCCTAATCCCAAAATCCAAAATCTGAAATGCTGCAAAGCCCAAAACGCTTTGAGTGCCAACATGATGCTGAAAGGAAATGCTCACTGGAACATTTCAGATTTTGAACTTTTGGATTAAGGCTGCTAAACAGGTAAGTATCAAATGCAAATATTCCAAAATTGAAAACAATTCAAAATCTGAAACACTTCTGGTCTCAAGCATCTTGGATAAGGGATACTCAACCCACACTTATCCATGATGTAAAACTTAGATTAAGTTTTCTGATGGATAAAACCACGGAAGCCAGACTTTCATCTCTGGAGTGCCTGGGCTTTGCTAGTGACCCACAAGATGACTTGGGCCCCTCTGTTGGTGACACAGCACAACTGCATTCACTATGTCCCTGAGGTCAGCATCCCACAGCGTGATTAGAGGACCCCACGCATCAGAAGATCTGGGCACTGTTATCAATACAGACTCCAGGGCCCCACTCCAGATACACAAATCAAGTATCCTGGTGGGTGTCACCGGGGAACCTGCATTAGCAAGTGGCCACATGGTTCTGGGACACACTGAAGTCTTGGAATGCCTGCCTAGCTTAAGGAGGGAGCTAGACCCCCAGTCAGGGTCATTTGGAATGAGAAGTTAGTTGTTCAAGGCAAGGATGGGTTAAATTCTGAAACTTTGGGGGCTTTTATGTTATACCAAGAAGCAAAGACCCTTCCTCCCTCTGCCTTCCCTCCAGCTCCCAGACTTCACTCACTCTTTCTTCCTTAAGTAGTTGGAGTTTCTGACTTGGCCTTATTTCTCTGAGGGTTGGGGAGGGGATGACAATAAAATCTAACTTTCCTGGAGAGTCTGTTGTCTGCAGCTGGACTGAGTCCACCTTTTTGGAGCCAGCTGTTCCCTGAGGGGAGACATGATCCTGAGCTGGAACCCTATGGAACAAAGTTGAAACAGACTCCAAGACAGCACAGAACTGTGAAGCCCTGGAGATGAGCCTCCAATTTCACAGAAGGAAAAATTGAGGCCCTGAGAAGAGACTTGGCTAGAGTCTTCTGAAAAATGGGAGGCAGGGAGAGGATGAGAAGTTCCAGCCTTGGTTCTTGCTCGTGTCCTGGGATCCGCCCTGTGGTGGAGACTGCTGCGTGAACCTCCGTGTCAGTGGGCACCAGGGCATGGCTTTTTCCCCAGAGCAGGTGTTTTCGGCAGCCTGAGGGAGAGTCAGGTGCAGCTGGGACGGCTTCCTGAACAGGCTGGGCCATTTCTGTTGGCTACCGTTGTCTCGGCGATGATGACATTGCAATGTATGCAGAATTTGCCAAGTCTTGTTAATTTGGGCTCTCCCCGAGGGCTGGGGCACCATCCCAGATGGATGTCTTATCCTTCCTCCTTTTCCAACATACATAGCTTCCCAAGCTAAGTGCTCAGATGTACAGAGGCCTAACATGATTTGTGCCTGCAACTAACAGCCTCTATTTACTCACCAACCATGAAGCTTCCAAACTCAGCAGTTTACTTTCAAAGAGGCTGAAACTTACTCCTTAAATTTGTAGCCTTTTCCCCCATTTCTTAAATTTGCATTTACATCAAGAATTTACTCCTTATATTATTATTATTTTTAGTGATTTTTTTTTTTTACCATCTTATACTGCTTGCCTTAGCTTGGGCTGCCATAACAAAATGCCACTGACTGGTGACAGGGTGGCTTAAATGTTTAACAGAAATGTATTTCCCGACCATTCTCGAGGATGAAAATACCAGATCAGAGTGCCAGCATAGCCACGTTCTGGTGAGAGCTCACTTCCTGGCTTGCAGATGGCCACCTTCTTGTTGTGTCCTCACATGGTGAGGGTGGGGAAACAGCAGCCTTTCTGGTGTTTCTTCTTAGAAGCACAGTCATCTCCTCAGCAGGGGCCCACCCTCAGAATCTTATCACACCCTAATTACCCTCCAAAGGCCACAACTCCAAATACCGTTTCACTGGGTATGAAGGCTTCAGTATATGAATTTGAGGGGAACACAGTCCAGTTGATAGAACCGTTGAACACAGTTCCAGTAGATCTTTTTAAAGGGCAGTGGCAAAGAATTTTAGCACAGGATGGTATGATGCAGGTCAACCCCCTCATTTTACAGAGAGGGAAACTGAGACACAGAGGGGCACGTGGCAGAGCTGGCATCAGCACTCTGGTCTTCCGACTCCCAGGATGGATGCTGGGCTTTAAGCAAGCTGTGCCCACTTCATGTAAAATTGTGGGCACATGTGGGTTTTTTTTTTTTTGAGTTGGAGTCTCACTCTGTCGTCCAGACTGGAGTGCAGTGGCCGCTCCCGGCCACCGCAGCCTCGGCCTGCTGGGCTCCAGAGATCCTTCCGCCTCAGCCTTCCGAGTAGCCGGAATTACAGGCATGCGCCACCACACCCAGCTGATTTTTTGATTTATTGTAGAGATGAGGTCTCACTGCCCAGGCGGGTCTCGAACCCGCGGGCTCAGGCAATTCACTCACCTCAGCCTCCCAAAGGCGCGGGATTACAGACTGAGCCACCGAGCCCGGCCACATGTGGGTTTTGTTCGGAAAAAGGATGACCTTCTCGACGGTCTTGAGGCTGGGCCACTTTGCCCCTGCTGCCCTTTCTGGGTGAGAGGCTCTTCTGGGTCTGGGTCTTCTGGGTCTTCTGGATGGTCCAAACAGAGTGTGGTATGAACACAGAGGAACTTGGCGCCTGGCAGTTCCTACTTTCTGCTAGCCTCTGCCGAGTCCACTTTTCTGTGTCTTGGCACAGCCAGAACTTTCTGTTCACTGTCAGGTGTAGGAGTGCTGCACCATCTGGTCTCATGTGAGACTTCCTTTACACCTTCTCCCTCACCCTGGTGTCTTTCCTGCCCTTGGGGCTGGCAGACTTCTGCCCAAGGGGCTAAGGAGGCCTAGGTGGGAACCAGCACTTCTCAGCTGTCTAGCCACCATCAGGATCTTCTTGGCTGTCATTGCTCCTTTGGTTAAGACCAGCTGGCCTCGGGGCTCTTTGTGGACAGCTTCCTGGGGTCCTGGAGTAGTAGAGATGGACCCCCACCCATCTCCGTCATATGACAGTTCCCCTCCCACTCCGGTCTGGCCCCAGTCCATGCTGCTGAGGCCCCTCCAGAAGACTGCTCCCCCAGGTGGGAGACTGGCAGGGTGGCTTCTTTTATGAATCCCATATAATCCATGGAAAACCCACATTCGCTGGCCACGCCAAGCAGAGAGAATGTGGCTGCTCCACAGCTGGGCCTGTCTCTGTTTCTTTTCCTCCCCCTGTTTTGGCTCATGGGCACAGGCAGCCGGGCCAGTCTCCTACACAAGCAGGTGTTCTCTGGAAGAGGAAGCTTCCCCTCTGGAAGGTGCCCTTTCTACCCTATTCCACTGCAAGAAGCTCTTTCTAGCCCCATCAAGAGTTTTTGGGGGGTTGTTGGCAGGGCCCAATGGCTCATACCTGTAATTTCTGTACATTGGGATGCTGAGGCAGGGGGATTGCTTGAGCCCAAGTGTTTGAGATCAGCCTGGGCAATATAGGGAGACTCATCTCGAAAGAAGAAAAAAAAAAGCTGGATGTGGTGGTGCATGCTTGTAGTTCCAGCTACTAGGGAGGTTGAGGTGGGAAGATAACTTGAACCCAGGAGGTCCAGACTGCAGTGAAATGTGATTGTGCCACTGCGCTCCAGCCTGGGTGACAGAGTGAGACCCTGACTCAAAAAAAAAAAAAAAAATGGGGATCTCTGTCACCTGCCACAAGGACTGCAGTGAGCATTTGAATAGAACTAAGTGAGGCTACAACCACTTTGTGACTGTGTGTCAATGTTGCTGCTGCTGATGTGTGGATGCCTCAGACCCAGCAGTCCCACAGCAGGAGATACTCGGTAGAAACGTGTACCTCTGTGTGCCATCCGTGTCTTCTAGACACATACAAGTGTCCCAGCAGCATTACTCGTATGACCCAAGCTGGAAACAGCCCACTTGTGCATCAGCAGTGGAAGAGTTCGGTAAGCATGGTGTATTCCTACCACAGAAAACTATAAAGATGAAATGACAACCACGTCCTCGGGAGGGATGGATCTCACAGCCACTAAGTGGAAGGAGCCAAATGCAAAGGGATAGGTTCTGATTGATTCTACTGAAGTTAAAAAATGAGAGGAACCAAGCTATGGTGTTAGAGGTCAGAAAGGTGGTTATTTCAGGTGGGTAGGGGACTGTAAATGTATCCTACAAGGGGGGATGGGCCTGGGGCTGATGGGTAGTTGGATCACATTCTGCTCTTCATCTGTGTGCCAGTGGGTTCTGGGTGCCATGTGTGTTACCAGGTGTGTTCACTATAAAAATCCATCAAGCTGTGCTTTCTGCTGTATGTACGGTATACTTCAATAATTATTCTGTTAGCCGGGCTCGGTGGCTCAGCCTGTAATCCCGCGCTTTGGGAGGCTGAGGTGAGTGGATTGCCTGAGCCCGCGGGTTCGAAACCCACCTGGGCAACTTGGTGAGACCTCATCTCTACAATAAATCAGAAAATTAGCCGGGTGTGGTTGCGCGCGCCTGTAGTTCCAGCTACTTGGAAGGCTGAGGCGGAAGGATCACCGGAGCCCAGCAGGTCGAGGCTGCGGTGGCTGGGAGTGTGCCACTGCACTCCAGTCTGGGCGACAGAGTGAGACTCCAACTTGAAAAAATAAAAAAAAAAAATAATAAATAAATAGTCTGTTTACAAAACTCACTGGAGTCATACGAACAGCCACGGCAGGAGTTGAATCTGTGGTCATCATTATCATTATTATTATTTTTTCTCCTCAGCACCTGAAGTGGCCTGGAATCAGTGAAGCCAAAGGGACTGGCAGTCTGCCCTACAGGGAGCACCGACCTTTCCTGGTTGTGTGAGCCTGCGAGAGAAAGGGAGTGTGTTTGTGTGTGTGTGTGTGGGTGCGTGTGTGTGCGCGCGCATGTGTGTTCTCGTGCAGGTGCACGAGTGGTCTTCAAACAAGGGTCCTGAATCCCCGGGAGGCAGGAAGGTTGCGGACTCCACACTGTCCTCTGGGATGATACTTGGATGCAACTCCTGGGATGGTGTTCTGCAGCTCAGCCTGCCGGTTGGGGTGGGGCCCCACCTACTATGCAATTTTTCAAGAGCTCCTTGACCCTGCTTTTTGCTTCTGGAGTTGTCTTTTGCCATTGAGGGGATTCTGGTCTGCCCCGGGGGTCAGCTTTGGTCCTCTGCCAGGAAGGTCTTCAGGAGAAGACCAACTTCCCTTTCCATACCACCCCCTTCCCCACTTCCCTCTCCCCGAGGCATCTCTGGGAATCAATAGCATATAGACACATTGGAGCCAGCCAGAACATTCCCCTCAGCTCCAGTGCTTGGAAAGCCCCCTTCCTTGCCTAAACAGTCCCAGCTTCTGGCTCTTGAGTCATTTCCAGACTTGAAATCCTCATCAGTTCATTGCTCTTGAGTCTTTGCAGAGAACCCCTGAAGCAGGTGTGCCTGGGAGGAACACCTCATCCCCAACTTGTAGATCCGTTTCCTCCCTCGTGAAGGGCAGGGGATGGTGTGGGGGTGTGGGGATATCTCCGTACCCTGCATATGCTCCCCGGGTGGGACCATCAACACCTTCAGTCTGAGCTTCTCAAATTAGCTCCAAAGGGAAACAAACAAAATATTTGGTAAATGAAAAAAAAAAGAAGAAGAAGAAGGATTAAAAAGCACAGGGGGAAGAGATTCCCGGAGGCCATAAATCACCTGCCAGGGACTCACGGGGCTGACTTGTGCTCTCTGGTGGACAGTCCTTGTCTCGGACAAACGGGTGAGCTGGGCTCGGCGTCAGACCCAGTTCAGTGAGGTTCTTGGGTTTTGTGCCTTTGGGGCAGACCCCAGGTGAGGATGTCTGAGACCACTTTGGTGCTGTTTCCTCAGCTCTGATTTCAACAGTGACACATCAAACCCAAAGTGGCAGGAGGGAAATTGACGAGCACGAGTGGTCACATGATAAAGGGATTTTCTTTTCAGGGCTACTATAGTTGATCTTGCAACTCTGTAAATATGTATGTAGACACTTTTAAAAGCACGTATTTATGTCCCTGACTGTAAATGCCCCATTTTTAAAGTTTTATAACTTGTGTTATTTAATTCATCAGTTGACTGGCTGCAGTATGGGGTCTGAGGATGGTCCAAGAAAAGGGTCTCGCGAGACCCTCACATGGGCAGAAAAATGCTGATCACTGGCCAATGTCACAGTTTTCCTGTTTCCCACCCAGCTGAAAAATGTTGTTTGCTTTTAATTTATGTAAACTGGAATCCTTTTGCCCGCTCTTACAGTTAACCCTCACAAGCATGAAAAACCGTGGCTGTTCCTTATCCTGATGATACGATTCTGTCCCGTCCATGTTAACATTCATGAACTATCTATCCCCCAGCCTCTCAGTTCACAAGGGTTTTCCCCTCTCAGTGGCAAGGAAACCTCACAAGCCCAAAGCCTCAAATGTTACCTTCAAGCCAATGGCAAATTTTGAAAACTGTCGGGGTCTTGGGGGACACTCATTTTTTGCATGTGCAAATGTGCCGGTCACCTTTCAACACTCCCAGACTGTCAGGAAAACTGTTCCAATCATGAAAAGTGGGGGGGATGGTTTTGTACAAGTGGAGTTTCCTGGTCAGTGGTGGTCTTTGAGCGTGGGTTTGGATTTTGGAAGAAGACAACCCTGTATCTGCCATGTGACAAGCATTGACAATAAAAGTGTGAAGAGCGGTTGTGAGGAACATGTGTGGAGTGATCATTTCCGTTTCTGCGCTGTGTGTTCCATGTTTGTAGCTTCCATGGCCTTGGGGTAGGAGTGGGCAGGAGCCCTGAGCGCTGCATCCCAGCAGCAGCGTGAACCAAAGGCTTCCAGGAAGCTTCCTGTGGAGTCCGGGCCTGGTGAGCAAGCTGATCTGCCAGGCGGCGAGTCAAGCCATTTCTCTAAGACCTAAAAGCCCCCTGGGATTACAAATACATACTTGTCTTTAAACAGCTTTATTGGGCTCTAACCCACATATCACACCATCCACCTACCTTCATGGACACATCCGTGGTTTTGGTACATTCAAAGTCGTGCAGCCATCACCACAATTCTAGGACGTTTCATTACCCCAAAGAGAAACCCCACGCCCATGGAATATCACTCCTCATTTGGCCCCAGCCCCGGACGATCACAGATCTACCTTCTGTGCCTGTAGATGTGTCCGTTCTGGACATTTCATATCATTGGAATCTTGCAATATGTGGTCTTTCATGCTTCGTTCACTCAGCATAATGTTTTCAAGGTTCACCCAGGTTGCTACATGTGCTGCTACTTTATCCATCGTATGAATAGACAATATTTCACTTATTCGTCCTTCAGTTGACTAACTTGGGGGTTGTTTTCACCTTTTTTTTGGCTATTAAGAAGAACGCTGCCATGAACAGTCATGTAAAAGTTTTTGTGTGGACATAGGGTATGTAGCTAGGCGGGAATTGGTGAGTCATGGTAACTCTGTATTTCACATTTTGAGGAACTGCCAAACCATTTTCCAAAGGGAAATATATGAAGATTCCAATTTCTCTACATCCTAGTCATCACTTGTGACTTTTTTTATTTTAGCCATCCCAGTGGGTGTGACTGTAAATACATTCCTTGAACCACCCCTCTGATCACAGCAGAGAGATCAGAGCCGTGAGAAGATGGGGTGAGCACAGGGAGATTCTGATGGGATGTGAGAGACAAGCATACTCTTGAGTTCAGGGTGGAAGGAGACCCCACATGGCCTTTGTCTACAACCAAATATTGCAGAAGGGTAGGAGGAAGAGTCCAAAGCTCTATTTTTTCACCTAAACACTTTCTCGGCGGGGTGCAGTGACTCATGCCTGTAATCCCAGCACTTTGGGAGGCCAAGTCAGGAGGATTACTTGAGCCCAGGAGTTTGAGACCAGCTTGGGTAACATAGTAAGACCTCGTCTTTACAAAAAATAAAAAATTAGACAGGCATGGTGGCATGTGCCTGTGCTTTCAGCTACTCAGGAGGCTGAGGCAGAGGGTCGCCCAAGCCCAGGAGATCGAGGCTGTGGTGAGCCATGATTGTGCCACTGCACATCAGCTTGGCAACAGAGTGAGACCCTAACTAACAAAACAAAACACACACACACACACACAACTCCCACTTTCTCTAAAAAGAGGAAGATGTGATATGTTAGCTTTCTCCAGAGCAACAGAACCAAGAGGAGATTGATATATATCATTTGTGCGTTTATGTATTTACACGAGATTTATTATGAGAAATTGGCTTACATGATTATGAAGGCTGAGAATTTCCAAGATCTGTGCCAGCAGGAAAGCCCTGGGGTCATTAAGCCCGAGTCCAAAGGCCTGAGAACCAGGGAGTCGGTGACCTAAGCCAGCAGAAGATGAGGTGAGCAGAAGATGAGGTGAGAAGATGAGCCAGTGAGACTGGCTCTAAGAGGTGGATTCCTCCTGCACCTTTTGCTCTATTTGGGGTCTCGATGGGTTGGATGATGCCACACGCACTGGGGAGGGCAAGCTCCTGGGGCCACAGACTCAGATGTGAATCTCATCTGGAAAACAACCTCCCAGGCACACTCGAAGATAACATGTAGCCTGAGCACCTAGTGGGGCATTCAGGATAACACTTAAAATGATCATCACACAGGACTTTCCATTCTTTGAAGGAAACTTATCCAGAAAGCAAAGTAGAACCTTCTAGTGAGATGAAATCCCTGCATTTGGCTCATCAAGGTTGGTTGCCCCCTGGTCTGGATCTGGAGGATAAACTTCACATGGGCCGTGCTATGGGGGTGCACACAGGGGGTATGATGGCCGAGGGGAGGCAGGGAGAGTCGAGGGAGGAAAAAAATAGACAATTTCAAGGAACAAAGAGGGCCAGTGTGGAGGCCAGTCCTGGGTGTGCTGAGAGTGTAGAGGTGGGACCCGAAATTCATCCTGGGGCATCCAGGAGGACTTCTTGGAGGAGGTGGGGACTCAGAGGGGTCTTGCAAACCTGATGAAGTCTCCTCACCTAATCTCCATGTTGGACCTTAGACAGCTTCATGAAGGGGAGATAAGTTTTCTCAGTATTGTCAGTAGCCTGGAATGAAAATGAAATTGATGATTTCTATTATGGACGACTTTTCAGCCCCATCAGATTCTCTTACACAATGCCACCCCATTCTTCCAACAAGCTTCAATGTGGGTGGGGCAGGTCTAATGTCTCTTCCACACAGATGGCACTCAGAGACCCGGGGACTCACCCAGGTCACATCTGCTCACCATCAGCTGGGACCTGAGCCAGCCTCGGCCTCCAAGCCCAGGGATCCTATCCACAGGCACCCCTTACTGGGCACTGCGCCATGCCAGGCAGTCCCTGTATATCCTCTCTCATCCCACAACAACCCAGTGGTGTGGGTATCTCAATAGCCATATCACAGATGAAGACTGAGGCTCAGAGATGTTAAGCGATTTGACCAGGGTCACACAGCTGGTAGGTGTGGACCAGGAATTGGACACAGGCCTTCAGGGGCCCAAAGGCCGAGATGTCTTACTCACCCTTCCCTATCCTTGCGGCTACCTCTACCGCTGCCCTTGCTGGTGGAAACGTCCCAATGGAGGTCAGTCCCCAGCCCCAGACACAGCAATCAGTGACCGGACTTCTGCTTCACCCCGGATTCGTACCCATACAAGACATACAAGTTTAAGAGACAAGTGTTGGAGCACCCGCCCATGTTCAATCCTAGCTCTGCTCCATCCTAGCTGTGAGATCTTGGACTGGTCACGGGCCTCAGCTTGGTTCCTTGTTTGTACAAGGGGATTAGCCGGGCTCGGTGGCTCAGCCTGTAATCCCACTCCTTTGGGAGGCTGAGGTGAGTAGATTGCCTGAGCCCGCGGGTTCGAGACCCGCCTGGGCAGCAAGACCTCATCTCTACAATAAATCAAAAGATCAGCCGGGAGTGGTAGTGCATGCCTGTAATTCCAGCTACTTAGAAGGCTGAGGCAGAAGGATCGCCGGAGCCCAGCAGGTCGAGGCTGCGGTGGCCGGGAGCGGCCACTGCACTCCAGTCTGGGCGACAGAGTGAGACTCCAACTTAAAAAAACAAACAAACAAACAAGGAGATAGTCGTGTCCACCTTCCTATGTTTTAGTGAGGATATAAATTAGTTGCTACCGTGTCTTCTTAGGGTAAGTTAACTCACCTATTTCTGGGATCACCTGGCCTTATTATTAAAATAGATTTCTGACTTTCACCCCCACATCTGTTAAGCAGAAGGGGGGAGTGGGCCTGCTCCACCTATATTGTCAACAAGCTTCGCATGTCCCGCCAAGTTCAGTGCCTGCTAAGCTTGAGAATTATGGCCTTGGCAATAATTGAAAATAAGCATGCCAGCCTCCTCCAGAACAACGAATCCGCGTTGCCTCAGACTCTGGAGTTTGTGTCTCTGGTGACTTTTGAGCATTGCATTGGGCCCTTCCCAGGAAAGGAAGGACAGGCTGCAGCAGTGAAGACTTTTAGGTGCTCTGCAGAGCACCTGTGCCACCTGTCTCTGGCACAGAAACAATAGGGGTTAGGATACAGGGAGCCCGTAGACCTGTGTTTCAGCAGCACACAGAATGAAGACTTCCCTGGGTCAGGTTAGAGAGAGCCCACTGGGGATTGCAGTGGAGAATCCAGCACTTTGGTGAGGTCTGGGATTTAGCGAACTGCTGAGTGACCAAGACTGTACACGTGTCCACCGGGGGAACCCTAGGGGCCCATGTACTGCTTACCAAACCTGAGCACCAGCTGCGACTGGGAGGTCAGTGCATCTTCCCAGGAGCCAGGCCGAAGGAGGACCAGCAGCTCACCTGAGGCTGTGATGCTGCCTGTCGCCAGCAGATGGGGGTCCTCCCTCAAGTTGGGGCTCCAGGATATCTGGCCTTCACTGATGCAGGTGAGGGCCAGTGGGTGAACCCACTGCTCCTTGTTAAGACTGAAAGCAAATGGAGGCTTGTGGGTCCTGGGCCCGCTCAGCAGGGGAATGGGGAGGGGTGAGAAGCAGCTCCCGAGCTTACTGCTCTGAAAAGGCAGGCTCGGTATCTTTCTCAGGGGTGAGGTCAGGGGAGACACACAGTGCTGGGTCTCCCACTTCCCGTGACCCACTTCCCATGACCCACTGGGTCCTGAGGGTGGGAGGCCACTGAGCTAGAGTATCAGAGGCTCAAAATGCCCAGCAGCTTTGTTTGGACACAGCTTAACTGGGAAGACAGCTGTCGACTGTGCCCGGGAGGGGAGACTGGCCTGGAGTCTGCCCCTTGTTCCAGGTAGGTGGGGAAGGGGCAGGGGGCTGGGAGAGTGTGGTCTGAGACACCTAGCCCCATGGAAAACAGAACCTGCAGCCTATCCCTGGTGGCACACAGAGGGGACCTCTCCCTTGCCCCTTTGGATCTTCCTTTCAATTCCAGCAGGAGGTCCGACAGGGGAGGCTGGTCATATGACTGACTTGTCAGTTGAGGTCATGCAGGCCATGAGGGAGGTGACTACGGCAATAAGAATCAGCATTCACACAACTCTGAGATTGAGAGTGTCCCTAAATTTTGCATCCTAAACACCTTACTTGTCCGTTCTTGTCCTGGTCCTGGCAGGTTAGGATGCTGTGTGTTTCTCTGGGCTGTTGCACATCTTTGAATGCAATCACATAATAATTCTAAAAAGTCTCCAAAGTCTTCCCACATGCATACAGTAAAACCCACCTCCTC